ATTGGCCCGCCCTCCATCTAAGAAGCTGTTGCCAATTTTTAAGCGATGGAGGAGGAGGCGGAGGAGGCGGAGGAGGAGGAGAAGGGCAAGCATCGGCAAGGTTGTCCCCATCCCTCCAGCCCGTCCCATCATCACCTCGACCTAGACTTCCTGCACCGCTTAGCTCTGCACACAGGCGGTTTTACTATTTTTCTTGCCGCCAGAAGGACGCTACTAGAGACTAGAGGCATCCCAAATGGGGTCCGAGTAGATGAGGTCGGAGGATCGCACCGCTCGGCGATACGTCGGCGATGCATCGACGATGTATCGGCGACGTCGGCGGTGCATCGGCGACGTCGGGGTGCAGAAAGTTGGGCCCCACATCGAGCCGCATCGCCGATGCATGAGCGATGCGGCGCGCCCTTCCGACCCCCTTTCCTCTGACCCCATCTGGGAGGCCTAGGGCTACAGTCTTTGCACCTAGAGTCCACTCCGCAGCAGCAGGTAACGGGGCGCTTGGGGGGATAAGGGCCGCACGACAATGAGATGAACCTCGACGTTTGCGGGGGCCGCGCGACGCGGCCTCGGCGAGCCTGACGGGCTTCCACCTTCTTGGCGGCGCGCAAGAGGTCGTAGGGGGAGGGGGGAGGGATCTTAGACGGAGGCTGCTTCGCAGAAGGCGACGGCCCTACATATATAGAGAAGGCCCGCGCCTTCCGAGAAGCAGGGGTGCTTCTAAGAAAGAAGCCTTCCCCCTCCCCCCAACCCCCCTTTGGGGAAACCAGAAGGTACCGATACCGCTACTCCCCAGACCTCTCCTGGGGTGCGTTCTGACCAGAATTTCGAGGCGAACCCAGCGGTGGCGACGAGGGCATCTAAGGAGGCCCCAGAAGGGGGAAAACGAGCGAAGGGTAGCGGCAGGGGTATCTGTTCCTCCTCCGACCCTCTGCGTGTGGCTGATCTCCTCCAGGTCCTGAAGCCCGACGGCACGAGCGTGTCCAAATCTCCGGCCCAATCCCTCCCTTCAGGGGCGTCCACTAAGAGGCCTCGGCTCGTAAACGCGAGCAGCGTGAGGGTGGCCCTGCTGCCCTCTGAGATGCCCTGCCCCGCTCCGCCCGCCAGGGAGGCCCCGGTGCAGATCCAAGACATCTGCGCGAAGCTCCGAAAGTTAAGACAACAGAACCCTTAGACAGATCGGCTTGGCGGTGAGCGAAAGGGGGAAAGAAGAGAAGCAGAGGATGCCTTCTCAGAAGGTAGCGGGACTTCTCAGAGGCCCTCGCGCCTTCTGAAAGGAGGTTTTCTGAATCTTTCGCCGCCCATGGGTGGCTGCGGGTCGGGGGAGGCCATCTCTGGACTCCCCTGTGGCGCCCTGTTGGGAGCCTCTGGGGACCCTCCTGCGGTCTCTCCTGCCTGGCGCGCCCTCCACCGCACGGGAAGGAGGCGGGCGCTGCCGCCGCGGCGACAGGAAGATCACGACGGGGCGCCTCTGGCCGTTCCCAGCCTCTGAGGGCCCTCGCCGAGCTCTGGGGCCGTCCACAACACTGCTCGGGACAAAAAAGAAAAAGAAACCCAAAAAACGGTCCCCGTGGGGGGCCCGCATCCCCAGACCCCCGACGTCAGGATTCCTTCGTGCCGTCGACCCCCAACGGTGTGGACCCATTCCTGGGGACCAGTCTCTCATCCTGAGTCGTTTTCTGACGCTCCCGAGGCCTGGTGAGGGCCCCCAGGGGCCGAAAATAGGGAAGCACCTCCCGTCACGATCTTCTCATGACCCGAGGGGGTCCGGGAAACCGGCCCTGGGGAAAGGGTCGGGAGGGACTTCTGGGGGGGGGGGGGGCTGCATCGAAAAAACACTAAAGCATCGCATGCACGGGCCTTTACCCGGGCGAGAGCGCTCTGGTCGCCCACGGTCGGGCCATCGGAGAGGCCGTCTGCGGGCCCCCCCCCCAGACGTGCGGCGTCTTGATTTTTTCAGGACGGCGCCCCCGGAAGTCCCGATCCATTCCCCGGGACCGGTTTCTCATCTTGAGTCGTTCTTTGACGGGCCCGGGGCCCGGCGAGGGCCCCCCGAGGCCGAGATTGGCCCATAACCTCTCGTCCTGATTTTTGCACGACGCGATCATGTCTGGGCCCACGTCTTGGGGGACCTCTCCTCCTCCTCCTCCTCCTCCTCCTCCTCCTCCTCCTCCTCCTCCTCCTCCTCCTCCTCCTCCTCCTCCTCCTCCTCTTCCTCCCCGCGAGCCCCTGGAGGCGCCTCCGGGCGAGGAGTGGCCCGCCCGGGCCCCCAGAGGAGCCCCCCTCAAGGAGGAGCCACGGGCTTCGAGAGGCGAGGCCTGGGCAAAAAGCCTCGCGCGGAGGAGGCCGCGCGTCGGCCCTGCGAGTCTCCTGGAGTGCGAGGCGGGGATCTAGCCATATCCACCGCCTGGGAACCGACGTCCTGGTGCCCCAGCGGGCCCCCGGGGGCCGCAATTACATATATATTATATATATAATATATACAATTATATAATATAGTGATTGCGGCCCCCGGGGGCCCGAATGTGTCCACATCCGCCGCCTGCCAAGGCTCCGAAAACTGACCCTCCGAAAACTGACCCTCCAGACCGTGAGTCTCCTGGAGTGCGAGGCGGGGATCTATGATACCGTTAGGGCCGATTTGAGTAGCCGCACTTTTTGTGACAGGTCGGTTTCATCCGGATGTAGAAAGTGAATGTCGTGATTTCGTTCAGGACTTCCGTTTCTTATATCAGGATCTGGAAGCTTCGCATCACGCATATTCTACCGTCGCCCGCAGAGTAGTCCATATCCACCGCCTGGGAGCCGACGCCCTGGTGCCCCAGCGGGCGGTGGATACGGATAGATCGCGGCCCCCGGGAATCAGGTCTCGCGCCGTCGCTTTAGCCAAGTCTGCGCTCCATTTGCTGTTCGAACGCTGCTTTGCGAGTCACTGGCCACATGATGTTCCACATCGAAAGGCGAGGCCGGGGGCCCGAATGTGTCCGTATCCACCGCCTGCCGAGGCTCCGAAAACTGACCCTCCAGGCGGCGGATATGGATACATTCCCGCCTCGGATGGAGGCGCCCCCATCCCAGATGGTCTGGTACCGGAAATTTTCGGTAGCGATTTCGACGCACCCCGAATTTCGGTAGCGACCGGTTCTTCGTTTGAGGGCGTTGAAATAGCGGATTTCAGAACGCTCTGATACCGGTATTGGGCGCTACATTTCGGTATTTCGGTAGCGACCGATCTCTGCGGAGCGCTACCGGAAATTTTCGGTAGCGGACCATCAGGGATGGGCCCTGGAGGCCGCCGGGCCGCCGGGAGCCGCGCCGGAGAAACTGAGGGGGGGGCGGCGGGCGAGGTGCAAGAAGCCCCCGGAGCGCGGAACGACCCGAGGCCTCGCGCAGTCTGGCAGAAGCCCGCAAGAGTCACTCGGGGCTTCGTGAACGGGGGCGCAGCTAAACCAGGGCCCTGACGTGATCGCGTCGTAAAGAACTCAGGACGGGAGGTGTTTGGTCAATGTCGGCCTCGGGGGGCCCTCGCCGGGCCCAGGGACAGTCAAAAAAGGACTCAAAATGAGAAACCGGTCCCGGGGAATGGATCGGGACTTCCGGGGACGCCGTCCTGAAAAAATCAGGACGCCGCATGTCTGGGGGGGGGGGGACTTCCTCCTCCTCATCCTCCTCCTCCTCTTCCTCCTCCTCCTCCTCCTCCTCATCCTCCTCCTCCTCCTGCCCCCGTTTACTATGGTCCCGTCTACGTCTACGGCGCCCTGCCCCCCCTAAACGGGGACACAGCCGAGCGTGGAAATCGGCGTTCCCCGTATGCCCCCGTCTGCTGTGCCTCCGTCTCTGGCCACCTGAAGTCACGCGAGGACGCTGGCCACGAGCTCGAGGTGCCCCTCCGGCCTTCTCCCGCTGGCTCACTCGACGCCGAAGGCCTCTGGAGTCCCTTTGGAAGAGCCCAGCCGTTCATGGAGGTCCTGGAAGTCTCCTCCTGGTGACCACCGCAATGAATTGCTGGAGGCGCCTTGGTTGACCCCCGAGGCCACCGAAAGCTACCTCGAAGTCTCTGAAGCCCCTGGGCCAGTCCTCGGAAGTGGCGTCGCAGGTCTGGCTTGCTTCATCAAACCTTCCAATGCCTGTCCTGGGGAAAAACAAAGAGATACCCATACCGCTACTCCACGGACCTCTCCTGGGATGCGCTCTGACCTGAATTTCAAAGCGAATCCAGCCGTGGTGGCAAGGGAAGGGCAGCAGTATCGAGAGATGCTCCTCCTCCAATGTCCAGCGCACCATACCCAAACATCATAATAATCATCAACCGCTGTCCCTCCAAGGGCTTCTCCTGAGGCCTGCCACACTGCTCCACGGAACTGCCCTCGAGTCGCAAGTCTATCCCATGGCGCCCAACTTCGTGCTTCGCGCTGCGTGAAACGCGAACAACTTCGCGCTCTCGCGCCGCCCACCAGGGGAGGAGGAGAAAGGGGAGGAGGAGGAGGAGGAAGAAGAGGAGGAGGAGCAGGAGGAGGAGGAGACGGAAGAGGAGGAGGAGGAGGAGGAGGAGGAGGAGGAGGAGGAGGAGGAGGAGGAGGAGGAGGAGGAGGAGGAGAAGAAGGATGAGGAGGAACCGGAGTCGAACCGCGAAGCGCGAATAGCTCCGCGCCCTCGAGGGCGCCCTTTTGGAGTCGCGGGCCTGTCCTGCGTGCCCACCTCTTGCTGCAGCCGAGCGCTGCACGAGACGACAGTCGGCCGCGCTCCAGCGGGGCGAACACCGATGGGCGGGATCTCTGCGGTCGCACCCGGGAGAAAAGAACATCCTTCAAACGCATGAGACCGTCCGCCGGCCCAAACGGAGGAACCTTCGAGGGTGCCCTCCCCCAGGATGCACAAGAACATTCAACAAGCACAAAGCACTCAACGGTACCCTCACCGAACCGACCTCGGTCTTACACCTCGGGCCGACCTTATGCCTCCACGCGCGCGAGGGGAGCAGTGGCGGGCGGGGGAAGGGGCAGACTTTTCCCCGCTCCTGCAGGGGCGACTTACCCAATCCACGTCTCTGGTCTCTTCCTAAGCTGTGGAGGGCGCGACCACCGAGTTCCGCACAACTCGGCATCAGCAGCGATGCAACTTCAAAAAGTCGCGGGGCAACGCGGGAACGCCACCCAAGCCGACCTGCAGTAGCCAAGCTCATGCAGTGAACCGCGGCCTGTACCAGAGAGGAAAAGAGGAAGGGAGGGAGGGAGGGAGAACGAGAGAGAGAGAGAGAGAGAAAAACAAAAAGCAGAGCGCACAAAGCTCTGGTTTTCATGGCCTACACCGCAAGTGAACCTCTGTGTTGGTCCGTGGGTGTCTCGAGTTTATAGCAGCTCTGCGGAGCACTTCGCGGAGCTCTATGGCAGCTCTGGCCGTCGGCCGGGGACAGACGGAGCCCGAGGGAAGCACCTAGCAGAAGGGAAAAACAACGACGTCGCTAACTGATAACGCGTCCCCATTTGAGGCTACTCGGAGCATCGACTCTTAAAACAGATGTCTGAACTCTAGCATTAGTTCGGGCATCTCGCTCTATAGGCGGATTTGGGGCGAAAAGTGAAAAGATGCAAGAAATGCGCAAACGTAGTCAAAAGATAATCGAAAAACTCGTCCGCAGGGTACTTCTTGACTATCTTTGAACATTCCTCCTGTAGAGGGGCATGCCCGACCTAACTCTAGCACCACCTACGCGGGCTACAGCTTACGAAATGGGCGCGGCGACGCGGCCTCGCGCTGCTGTAGGAAGAATTGGCAGAGCGCGCGACAGTCTGACCAAGATCCGGGGATGGACGGACCTCCCTTTCGTAAAACGCGGTTTAGTGCAAACGACCTCGGGCCCAAACCTGGCGGGCGCAGGCCTGGAAAACGACGGCAGCGGCGCCCTCTCGAGAACCGAAAACGGACAACTCACTAATCGACGTGTCAGGGGAGGGTCTTGTCCACCCCCGAAAGATGGCTGATGCCGAAACCTTGGGAATGGCATGCGAAATTGCGGGCGGCTGCGCACACCGCGACGTGGGGGGCACAGATACGCCGACGCGCGGAGCGGGCCAGAAAATGAGAATTTCATGGGCGCCGTCGGGGACTTCGCATATCTGATGCCTGGTAATTAACTGTGGCCCTTACCGCTGCTCATCCGCCCACCTCTCCGTGAACGAGCGCAGGCTGGACTGGATGTGTTCGGCCACGCTGCCACCAGAGGCAATGGTGATCAAGTCCTTCAGCATCTCGTGATTGCCCAGGAGGTCGACGTGGTCGCCAGAGGCGGCTCCGCCCCGGAACGTCTCGGCCACGCCCGACTGCATCGCCTTCCGGCTGAACAGCCGCGAGCCCTCGGACCTGTCGGCGTACTCCTTCACCGTGCACGGGGTCCTGCCGGGGTTCCTGCGGTCGTCCTTCCACCCCTTCTGGCACATCGCGCCCAGCGTCAGGACCGGGCAGGAGTAGTCCCCGTCGCCGAAGAAGAACCCCGAGTCCTTCGTGGCGCTGACGTTGATGGAGTACTCCGCCCCGTTCGCTCCGGGCGACGCCTCTCCCTCCAGCACGCCCGCCACGTCGGTCTGCACGCCCACCCCGTAGAAGGCGTACTTCTGCATCTGCGGCGCAAACGGCAGGGGCACGGCCAGGGGGTTCGCCCAGACGTGCTCCGGCGGCTCCACCTGCGCGAGCATGGCGTCCGCCTCCGCGGGCCGGTCCCGGCGCACGCCGTCCAGCAGCCACGAGGAGATGCGGCGGAGGTCCGCAGGCACAGAGCCGTTGCTGGCCACGAGGTCGTAGGCCTCCTCCACCGACAGGTTGCGCTCCCCCAGCTGCACCATCGCACGGCCCATCACGCGGCTGCCCCACAGCCTGTCGCCGCCGATGGGCATGATGAGCGCCAGGGAGGAGCACGTTCGCCAGAGCGTCCGCCGGGTCGCCTGCCCGAAGAAGTGGGTGACCACGGCCGACATGGAGCCCATGGATCGATGATCCTCAGAGCGAGTGTTGGCGCCAACGTTCGGGGATGGACAGACCTCCCTTTCGTAACACGTGGTTTAGTGAAAAAAGACCTCGGGCCCAAACCTGGCGGGCGCAGGCCTGGAAAACGACGGCCGCGGCGCCCTCTCGAGAACCGAAAACGGGCAATTCACTAATCGACGTCTCAGGGTAGGAGGCCTGTCCACCCCCGAGACGTGTGTCGGCGCCGCTGGGACCCTTCAGGGCTGGCGCAGGCTGCACGCAGTCGGCGGAGCCAGCAGACGGCAAAGGCACGCCGGAGCAGCACACGCCCTGAGGACCATCGGATGGAGGCGAAGTCGCGGTTGTCCCCGGTGAGCAGGGAGAAGTACGCCTTCGGGAGCCCGAGCATTGGCGACGAGATGAGGACCTCGGCGGCGATGTGGTCATTGACCCAGTTCCTGTGGACGCGGTGGGTGACCCACTGCATGAAGTCCGCCACCGCGTGTTGTGATTCTGCAGAAGCATTCGTCGCGAAGGTGGCCTCGGAGAGAGAACGAGGCCAATTGTAACCAGGGAGGACGGACCACAGACACTGAATGGGACAGATCGCGTCCAACTGCGACTGAGAATGCATTTAGGAAGCCGCTTATGTAGGGGCGTTTTTTCGTACTGCTTGTTTCCCGGAGCAGCAGTCAGAGCCACCACCGCATCGAGGCTGACATGTTTCCGCCTCTCTCTACAGGTCTCTGGGCAATGTCAGCGCAGTCCTGGGTTGCATGTTGCACGGGCCCTCCCCGACCCATACCCCACCTCTCCCCCGAGACATGCGATGTTTTGATGTTTGTCCATGCGGGGACCCCAGAGGTCCCGACCCTTCATCCCCAGGGCCAATGTCTCATCCCGATCATTTCTTGACACGGTCCTGGAGCCCGGCGATTGCCCAGGGAGGACGTTGCGAACATGCCTGGGTCGTCTGGTTTTCGGGTCGTAACTCAGCCCTCTGGTGGCCATTCGAGAAGAGCTGGACACACCCAGAACGCTCTTGGCGAGGTGCAGCTGCTGGAGAGCATCCCCAGGCTGAGAAACCGCCACGAACCCATGAGCACTGCCAAAAACCTCCCGGCGAGGGAACGGATCGGCAGCGGCGGGTGTGCGCGGCGGCGCAACTGGATAATGCCAGACGTTGCCGCCCATCGAGTGGGCCACCACGACCGCCTTTCGCCCCCTGGATGAGACTAGCAGCTCTACGCTCTGCCGCAGCCGAGTAAAGTACCTGTCGCGCTTCTCGAGGTCGCCGAAGCCCAGGCGCCAGTCGTAGGAAGCCATGTGCATCGTGTTCGTGTCGTAGCCAACGTCGGCGAGGGCCTCGATCAGCAGGCCCCACACCCAGAAGCCGCCGATGAAGTAGTCGGAGCTCTCGAAGCCCTGGGCCGCGCGCACACGGATGCTCCTGTTGGAGTTTGGCATCTGCACCGGGTCCAGGCCCGTCGTCGCATTCAGGGCGAGGTGTCGCGCCCAGCAGTCGGGATCCCTCATCATGGACTGGAACATCGTGGCGGTCCCCCAGATGCGCTGGCGAAAGTACGACTTCATACACGACTCCCCATCCCAGACCTCAAGCCCAGTAGTAATGATGCCTGGGATCATCACAACTGGGGAGCCCACGCCGAAGCCCTCGTTGGCCATCCGCATGCCCACGCGCTCGCCCTGGCCGAGCACCTCGTCCACGGAGGGCACGTTCCAGGTCCTCAGCAGCTCCTGGATGCCGAACTTCCGGTGGGGCAGCTGCTCCAGGATGCTGGACGTGGCGTTCGTGATCCTGCCCGCCTGCGCGTCCAGGACATCCTTCAGCCGCGCGGTCGTATTGAGCAGTCCCTGCATTGACTGCGCCGACATAACCTCGTCCAGAGCGCGCGATATTCGGCGACTCCGAGGGGCGTGGTTTGCAAAGGGTGTGGTTTGCAACCGGCACCCCGAGGGGCACCCTGGGGGGCGGGCGAGGACCTCGACAGAGCTCTCCGCCGCGCCCCGAGGAGGCCCGACGAAGACAGTGTCGTGCCCACCAGGGCCCGACGGTGCCGCTCGCAGACCACACCTCGGCGTGACCGTACCCTTTGCAGTCGCCGAGATATGGCCTCGCTCGCCAGGCGAGCCTGCTCCCGCATGGGCTCCGGCACCCGGTGCGGCTGGAGCCACCCCACGCCGCAGGAGGCCTCGGGAGCGGCCAAGAGGGGGGTGTCCAAGAGGGGGGGGGTGCAAATCATGACCGGCGGCACGTGCGCGGCCCCGCGGGGGGGCAGGGACGTAATGAAACAAGACGAGGGCGCCATGAAGTCTGGGAAATATCATGGCCCCCGCCATGAAATCCACCCCCCCCTAGTCATCACCCCCCTCTTTGCCGCCCCCGAAGGCCGCGACCCCGAGGCCGAACACGGCGGGGAGCCGCAGCGGCTGGAACGCCACGAGGGCCACCCGGCACCTGACGAGCGCCCAGCGCCGAGCCCGGAGCAGGCGCGTGCGGCACCGCGGCCTCTTCGCCGCGGGCCCGTCGGCCTCCTCGGGCTCCGAGGGGGCCCCGGTGCGGGCCTCGGGCTGCATCCGACGCCGATGGTCCGAGCATCGCTCCCGCAGCTGCATCTGCGACCCTTCCATGCGCCGAACGGCGCTCTCAGCACTGCACTGAGAAAACGAAGCCTGAGCCAGGCCAACGGGCTCCCGTCTGTCCACGCTCGTCGAACAAGATGTGGTCGTGCACTGGGCTAAAACTGCTCGAAGCCCGCCTGGCGTTTTGTTGCGAGCGCGCTCCCCCCAAACGGTGCTTGCATGAAGGGGCTCTCAGCTGTCTCTCAAGGAACTGCATGTGCCTGCCGCACTCTCCTGCAGTGGAGACGTACGATGAGAAATCATGCTATGCAAAATGTTAGGGCACATTCTCCAGTAAAGGGTTCTGCGGTGCCCCCAGGGTTCTTTGGGGTCCTGGGGCCATCCGCGGACAAGAACCTTCCATGGTGTACATGCTGGCAGGCCGACCTCTTGTTCGGCCGGCATGCTAACAAACAAAGTTCCCATGGCTCGTGGGTGGCTGCCGCACTGTCTGGTGGCTGCTGGGTTCCTATGGATGGTCACCGCACTTTCTGGTGGCCGTTTGGGCTTCTTATGGGTCCCTCCACTTAGGTGAATATTTTGCTACTGACGTGTCTGACGAACTGCAGGCGGATTCGTGTCGTGGGCGCGCTGCATACACATGCAGTGCTGGAAGCTGTGATCAACGCCTTGGCCTGCGGGAGCGCTCGCGCTGTGCAAATATGCAGTGCTGGAGCCAAGGCCGTGGGTTGCTGGAAACGTCTGTCCTTTGTGGACATTGGGTGCTGGAGCCCACACCACTGGCTGCTGAAAGGCTCGCGCTCGGTAAACATGCAGTGCTGCAGCCCACCTTTCTTATAAGCATCATCTGCGGGAGAAACTTACCCTCGTCAAACTTTCATTGGGTGCTGTAACCCACGCCGCGGAATGCAGGAAACACTGCCCCTCGTAAACGCTGGGTGCTGGAACCCATCCTTTTTGTCAGCACCATTTGCTGGAACCACTCTCCTCAATAAACATTGGGCGCTGGAACCTCACCCTGCTGAGGGGCTTCAAAAGACACGTCGGCCCGTATCATAAGGATGCGCGATAAGGATGCAAGGGCCTTGGACGCCCATTTTGAAGCTTTTCGAGCGGAGCGCGGCCAACAAAAGTGGCCAAGGATGGACCGAGGAGACAAGGATGCAAGGGTACCCTTGGGAAGGATGCCCATCCCTATTATGCGGCATGACTGCGAGCAGGGCGGGGGCAGGGGGATGGAAGGGAACACGGGGGTGGAACCACCCCTCGCCAGCAAACGGGAGCAGCTTGCGCGCACGTGCGTGCGCGCGCGCGTGTCCAAGCCCGAGCCCTAGCGCGAGCCCTGGCGCGAGCCAGAGCCCCAGCCCGAGCCCGAGCCCGAGCACGAGCTTCGGCCCGAGCGTGTGCCCCCGTAGCCCGAGCCCGCTCCGGTGCGGGCGCGCGGGCGCGTGTGCGCGTGTGCGCGTGTGCTCGTGGGCGTGCGCGTGCGCGTGCGTGCGTGTGCGCGTGCACGTGCGCATCTCCCGTCCCCCTCTCCTCCGCTGCTCCCCCCGCGGCTGTCCCCTGGCGAGTGATGTTGTCGACCTCCTACGGGTGGATCCAATATCCCCACGCCGCGTGCCCACGTGGGTCGCGTTCCGCCCGGCCTTGGCTTCGCCGCGACGCTGCGCGCGTGGCCGCGACGCCAGAATCGCGCGTGCGTGTGTGTGTGTGTGTGTGTGCGCGTGTGCGCATCAGCATGCATTCCAAAAACAACAACAGTATATACACCTGGCTGTAGGTGGCTGCAGCAGTGTGACTCTTTGTCACTCGGCTTGGGAACTTTTCTTCGTTTCGAGCCTGGTTGTCGGTTTGGCTGTCGTGCGGCCGCCCGTCGACGCCCGTCGGCGCCGTCCTCGGTAACGAGTTTGAAGTTATGGTTTCGGCCAGCTTGTGGCCGCGCGTCATCGCCCGTCGCCGCCGTCCTTGGTCACGATTCTGGTTGTGCGAGGCTCGCACTTTGCATTGCTTTGCATTGCGCTGCGCTGCGTGGCATTGCGTTGCTTTGCGCTGCATAGCACGATCGCCATACTACTTGCGCATAAATGTATTTGTTGTAAGGGGTAGATCCATTACATGTGATCGAACAGTGTGCTCATAGGTGATTGCCGCATGTTCCTTTTGCCGTTCGGGTTCAGATGGGTGCTTGTTGGTTCCAGACAGACACGTTGGGCTCCGCACAAAAGATTTCCGCCCATATGGCGGGTTCCGCCATTCCTGAAGCACATCACCCTCTGAGGGCACATAGCTTACTTCCGCCGTCCTCGACGGCAAGGCCACCACTCGGCACGCCTCACGCAGGCTTCCACGCACATGCACGTACACACGCCCCACACAAGCTTCCACGCACATGTGCGTACACGCACATACCCTCATAAGGCGCCGCACACACACACACACACACACCAAAACTCGACACTCACAGGGGCGCACACGTAACTACACATGTTTGTTGCGTCGCAGCGCGGCAAGGGCGGTCCACACGCGCGCCCAGGCAACGCGGGCTACGGTGTTACGAACTGTCCCGCGTGTAGGAGGAGGGGCGACCCGCAAACTCTTTTGCGTCGGCGGCTAGGCAGGATAACTACGTTGGCGCAAGGCTACCGAAACGGGGGTACCGCTGTGGCGAATTGTGCCACCATGCAGGAGGGGAGGAAAGGCAGAGAGAGCGGCCGAAGAAACGGGCGGGAGGAGAGCAAACCGCTCAGGGGGACGGGTCACGCCCCGAGCGTGTGGCGTGGACAGCCCCGCCGGCGGGCCCGCGGCGGCTGCTGCGCCAGGGCGTCGGCAGCGGCGGGGCGCAGTGCGGCTGCTGGGAACCCGCACACGTAGAACTGCTTAGTAAAAGGTGGCACACCCGCACCCCAGAACCCCGACGTCATGATTGTTTCACCACGTCGACCCCCAGAGGTCTGGACCCCTTCCTCGGGACCGGCTATTCATCCTGAATCCTTTGTTGACGGTCCCAGGGCCTGGGAAGGGCCCCCAGAGGCCGAAAATAGTGAAAAACCTCCCGTGGCGATTTTTTGCACAGCGCGCGTGTGTGGGTTGTGTTGTGTTGTGTTGTGTTGTGCTGTGCTGTGCTGTGCTGTGTTGTGTTGTGTTGTGTTGTGTTGTGTTGTGCTGTGCTGTGTTGTGTGGTGATGTGTTGTGTTGTGCTATGTGTGTGCGTCTGCGTGTGCGTCTGCGTGTGTGTGTGTGTGTAATGTGTGTGCGTGTGCGTGTGTGTGTGTGCGTGTTTGTGTGTGAGTGTGTGCGTGCGGTGTGTGTGTGTGTGCGTGTGAGTGTGTGTGTGTGTGTTTTCTGTTTCCTGCCTTTGGCTCTGTGTGAGTGTGTTGGCCGTTGGCCTTTTCCTGCCTTTGGCCGTTTCACCAACCGGGCCACCTGTTCCCCACCCACCCGAGCGAGTGAAACTGGTAAATGGTGGTGGTAGGTGGGAACATCGTATCCCCCCTATTTCGAGGAAAATGAGAGGCAAGAGTAAAGGCGAGGAATATACGCAACACTAGGTGCCTCTCAAAATGAGACGTCCCATCAAAATTCGAAAGGGTACATACACGGAGGGGAAGAGATGGATGGGGACAACGAGGGAGGGTGAAAGAGAGAGGACCAGAAAGGGACCGGGCTGGGAGGGCGTTGACAAACGAGTGCCAGGTGGAAACGTGTCGCAGATCTAGCTGCACTTGACAAGGTGCGCTTGAAAGGCTGGGATCGGATGGCAATCCTACAAGCTTGGCCTTCGTGGCGCTACGCATCCAAGAACCATGCACCATGCACATCTGGTGTCCGCCAAGAAGAATGAGGTACAATCGCCAATGAACAACGACAGTGCCATATTGTGCTCAAGTTTTGCCTCCGAGAATGCCCAGTTTGCTCCTGCTTATCCGTCGGCATAAATCTCTCACGCTTGCCAGGTGTGCCTGGTTGCATTCGCCTGCCTCAAGCAGGCGTTCCATCTACCGCAGCGAAATGCCACACTCCAGAAATGTGTCCTGGCACTGCGGTATCTGCAATCATGTGGACTCATCCGTCCAAAACACTCCCCCCTCCTCGCCGTCACTCCCCATTCCATTCCTCTCCGCAGCCTCCTCCTCCTCGTCCTCCTCCTCTTCCTCCCCCAGGGCCTGTTCCTCTTCCTCCTCCTCCGTTTCCTCCTCCTCCTCCTCCTCCTCCTCCTCTTCCTCCTCCTCCTCCTATTATTATTATCATTAATATTATTATTATTATTATTATCACAATATTATTATTATTATAATAATATTTATATAATAATAATAATAATATTATTATATCATTAGTATTATTAGTCTTATTATATCCTCCTCCTCCTCCTCCTATCCTCCTCCTCTGCTACTCCGCAACTCCTCCTCCTCTCCTCTCCTCCTCCTCCTCCTCCTCCTCCTCCTCCTCCTCCTCCATCCTGTTCCTCTCCCCTCGTCCTCCTCCTCCTTCTCCTCCTCCTCCTCGTTCTCCTCCTCCTCCTCCTCCTCCTCCTCCTCCTCTCCTTCCTCTTCCTCCTCCTGCGCCGCCAGCTAGCACCTGCAACCGACGGGGGGGGCTGTCCTTGTTAGGAGGCGGGGGGTGGAATCGCACCAACGACGCGCATTCCAATCCAAACCCCGCCCTCCTTCTCCCGCTCCCTCCTCCACCAATCCTCCACCCCCTCCTCCCCCACACGCCGCCCCGCTCATCCTCCGCCCATGCTGCTTATAGATAGCTCCTCCCTGTCGCACCCCGAAACGGGTCGGTACGGCGGGGCGGAGATGCACCTGAGACTTCCTCACCACTGATGATCCTGAAGCTGGGAATTTGCACCAGCTTCAGGGATGGAGAACGGCCGTTTTCAAAATGTGGTCATCGCCTTAGCGAAGCGTACAGCGTACACTCGCCTTTTAAAGCGTGCAAGAGCTTCACGGATGGAGGGCGGTGCCTTGTTCGAAATGTGGCTCTCCCCATTAGCACCGCGCGCACTCGTCTTAATAGTCTACGGCCGATTCAAGGAGTCTGATCGTTGACGTCCCAGGCATGCCGTTTTAGCACGTTTGAGGATTGTCAGGACGGGGCAGCCACGTTGACGTGCGCTGCTGAGGTCTTAGGAGTGCTGTTCTGGCACGAAGCTCCATGAAAGGTGCTTTAGCATGGTTGCAAATCTGCAGGCGCTCGTCATCCAACGGAGCACCTCTTGCAGTGACAATAAAGGTCTGCAGGGACCTATGGAGAGGGAACCTGGTGGGAGGGTTTACTATCATCGTTGATGAATATTGGGTTGGCACCGATCCTCCCCTCCGCCTCCTCCTCCTCATCCTGATCCTGCTCCTCCTCCCCCTCCTCCTCCTCCTCCTCCTCCTCATCCTCCGCCTCCTCTTCGTCATCGTCCTCGTCCTCCTCCTCTTCCTCCTCCTCCTCCTCCTCTTCCTCCTCCTCCTCCTCCTCCTCCTCCTCCTCCTCCTCCTGCTCCTCCCTTCCTATCCCTCACCAGCCTCCCGACGTCCTGATGTTTCACGTCCCCGAGGACTGGCCAGGGCCCAGCGCGGGCCCTGGGGAGCCAGGGGGCAGAAACCGTCTCCAAACCCTACCGCCGTGATGTGTTTTCTCACGACGCGAGGGGGTCTGGGTCCCCATCCTCCCTCCCGCCATCCCTCCCCCAGATCCCTCCCCTGTACCAGAAGAGGGGGGGGGAGGGGGCGGCTCGCTGGAGATGATGGGGGGAATGGAGAGGAGGTGCTGCGCACTGCCCACTGAAGGCGGAGGGGCTTTTGCACACACTTCTCGACTTGTGCGTGCCATCCCTACGCAAAGGCCATCCGCGTCTTCTCCGTGTCATTCCAGCGCTGACGGGTGATCGCCGAAGGGGATCCACGAGGGCGAAGGGAGGAGGAGGAGGGAGACGATGGGGGCAAGTGAGGAGGAGCTGGAGGAGGAGGAGGAGGAGCTGGAAGAGGAGGAGGAGGAGGAGGAGGAGGAGGAGGAGGGACTGGAGAGGAGGAGGCTGGAGGGCGGAGGGGAGGAGGGAGGAGGGTGCGGAGGAGGAGGCGGAGGAGGAGGCGGAGGAGGAGAGGGAACCGGCGCAGGAGGGCTGGGAGGAGGAGGAGAGAGGAATTGGAAGAGGAGGAGGCAGAAGGGAGGCTGAGGAAACCCGAGCCCCCCCCCCCCCACCCCCGCGTTGCGAAGCACAAAAATCTTGACACGGGGATGGTCAGCCATTTCCAGCCCCATGGGGGGCCCCTGCTGCTGGTCCCCAGAGCCGTCAGGAAACGACACGCGATAAAAGAAGGAGGAGCAGGAGCAGGAGGAGGAGGAGGAGGAGGAGGAGGAGGAAGAGAGGGGAAAGCAGGAGGACGTGGAGGAGGAGCAGGAGAAGGAGGAGGAGGAGGAGGAAGATGAGGAGGACGAGGAGGGGGGAGTGCCTCTCTCCTCCCTCCCTCCCTCACTCCCTCCCTCTCTCCAACCGTCCCTCCTCTGTCCCGAGGGGGGGGCCAAGCCCCCGACGTCATGATTGTTGATAGCATCGACCCCCGGAGGTCTCGACCCATTCCCCTGGGACCGGTTTCTCCTCCTGCGCCGTGTTTCTGCTGCCTCCCCCGAGGCCCGGCAAGGGCGCCCAGAGGCAGAGGATGGCGCAACACCTGCCGCCGTCCTTTTGTTGTCAAGGCTCGATGGAGTCTGGGAGAGGGGAGGGTCGGCGGCGCCGGAGACGCGCGGGGGGGGGGGCGCGCCGCCCCGCGGCCGCGGCATGGGGGTCCTGCTCGCGCGCGCGCAGCTCGGCCGCCAGGGCGCCCCACTCCTGCGGCCCGCGCGCGCGGGGGCCCCATCGGGCGCCCCCCAGTGGCAGGGCTCACGGGGGAAGGTCTCGGCCAAAGCTGGGGCTCGGAGCGAGGAGGAGGAGGAGGAGGAGGAGGAGGAGGAGGAGGAGGAGGAGGAGGAGCGAGGAGGAGGAGCGAGGAGGAGGAGCCAGGAGGAGGAGGAGCCAGGAGGAGGAGGAGCCAGGAGGAGGAGGAGGAGGAGGAGGAGGAGGAGCCGGGAGGAGGAGGACGAGTCGGAGGGGGAGGAGGAGGAGGAGGAGGAGAGGAGGAGGAGTAGGAGAGGAGGAGGAGGCGGAGGAGGAGGAGGAGGACAGGAGGTAGAGGAGCCAGAGGAGCAGACGAGGAAGGAGCAGGAGGAGCAGGAGGAGGGGAGGAGGAGGAGGGGCACAGGGAGGAATGAATGAATGAATGAATGAATGAATGAATGAATGAATGGAAGAATGAGTGAATCACTCGTGGGGTCCTGTACTGATCTCTGCCTGAAAACGGGGCTCACTGGGGCTGGCCTGCCTGGCAACCGCAAGAAATCCGAGTCGCGTTACTGTTGCGGGAGCTCCCTCCCCCCCCCCCCCACACACACACACACACCCGCACGTACGCACGCACGCACGCACGCACGCACACACGCACGCACGCACGCACGCACGCACGCACGCACGCACGCACGCACGCACGCACGCACGCACGCACGCACGCACGCACGCACGCACGCACACACACACACACACACACACATCGATTCTGGAACACCAACGCACTCCGCGAGTGCGGCACTGGTCGACCTGCACCCCTGAGAACGGGCGCGCAGCCCTCGGGTGCCGGCTCCAAAGGCACGCGAGATTCGCCGTCCCCACCCCCCCGGGCGCGGCGGCATACGTCTCAATCTGACGGGGCCGGCGGAGCGCCTCGGAAGAAGCCACACCTCGAGCAGCGAGCTCCCTGGAGCGCTCCCCTCCCGAGAACGCAGCCCGGGCCCCGGCGGTCCGGGAGGGGCTCAACAGCACGACCTGCAGGCACCGACTTGGGGGCTGCTGGCTGGCTCGCTGCCGAGGAACTCTGCTACTCCAGGTTTCGTAATAAAAGGGAGGGGGTCTGGACCCTCAAGACAAGCCACTTCAGGCCTCCCCCGTGGGAGAACCCTCCCAAACATCGTCCCCAGACCACCCCAGGCCCTCCAAGATAGCCTGGACCTGGAAGAGACCCCCCCCGAAATGAGACCCCCCTCCCTTTATTACGAAATCTGGAGTGCCGATCACTGCCACATTCTTCGTGCCATGACTGCCGCTAACACACCCACGGCTTGCCCGGGGGCCCGACCATCGGAGCGGTCTCCCCTGATCGAGCGGACCCCTCGGGGCCGCCCCCGACGAGAAGGCGCGCCCGGTGAGAGCCTCCAGAGGCCGAACATCGCGAAACACCTCCCGCCATGATGTGTTCATGACTCGAGGGGGTCTGGGGCTTTGTGGGCCCCGGAAACGGCAGGGCCGTAAATTCACCCTTTCCAAAAAAATGTCCCTTGGAAATGCAAACGGCAAAAAACAAACGGCGACCAGAAACGGCAAAAGAAACTGCTCTAGGATTGGAGCCGGAGCCGGAACCGGTCAAAAAACGGCGACGGAACCGGTAAAAAAACGGCGTTGGAACCGGCAGCAGAAACGGCAAAACGGAACCGGTAAAAAAACGGCCCTGTCGTTTCTAGGGCCCACTAAGGTCTGGGGAGGTTCAGCTGCATCTGGGAGCACGCTCTGGCACCAGGAGCGCGGCAGCGAGGAGCTGGGCCGCGCCGCGCTCGCAGGACCCCGCGAGGCGCGCGGGGGGCGGGAGGCCAACCGGGCCAGCTGGCTGCGGCGCCGGCTCCTCGCTCTGGCGGGTCAGCCGCTGCATGCCGTCCTCCAGCTTGGCCATATCCTCGTCCCGGGGTTATTAACAGGGGACATGTCGACCCCTATCCCAGGCTTCGTGGGGTTTCCGAATGGACCAGAAATTTGGGGCCTAACCCTGGGATATACGATGGGGGGGTGTCCATTCTCGATAGGGGTGCGTCCGAATAGCCCCCTTGGGGTGTATCCCAGGGTTTTCCCATTCTTCTGAGCGGCAAGACTTTTCAGGCGAAACTCGGGGATTGGGGGAGAAACATCGCCCGCGAGTTATGGGACAAATCCTGGAGGCATCGCGCGGCAACTGGAGACCCGATATGCGTCGGATCCGCGTCGGGTCTACGTCGGGTTCACGTCGGACTCACGTCGGATTTACGTCGGATTGGAGTCGGAATGACGCCGCAGCATCGCCGCGCGAGCGTTGACCCATAGCTTACGGAACCGACACGTGGACTAGATCGTACTACTATTACGCGCCGCGCGGAGCCTCCAGGTTTCTCCTCAGAATCGGGGGCTGAGAAACCGGGGCCCCCACGGGTCATGAGCAAAAATCGCGACGGGGAGGTTTGCGCTGCTGAAGGGGCCCTGGGGCACACAAATACATGCACACAAATATAAAAAGGATTCCCATATCTTTTTTTCAATATTTTTGTGGGCTCTTGTCTTCCCCCCCACTTCCCGTATTTCCCGGTATTCTCTGGGGAGTCGACGATTCATTGTGTCTGTGTGACTCTTTCCCTCCTGAGCTGCTTAGCGGCCTCTGGGGGCCCCTCCCCGGGCCGAGGCACCCGCAAAGCAGCTGGCTCGGGCGGAGATGCAGGTCCCCGGGGGGGAGCGGGCCCGGACCTCTGGCGGGTCGGGCGAAAGGGGGGGATAGCAAAGGGGGGGTTTGAGAATCAGCTCACGTAGCTGATTTTCCCGGCGCCTCCCGGCGCCGGAGGCGCCCATGTATCGAGGAATGGGCCCCTCGGTCGGGCCGAAACCAGCTGCATGCAGCAGATTTCGTAACCACCCCTTTCCCGATTGCCCCCCCTCGCCCGACCGACTCTGGGGGGGGGGGGGGGGGTCGACGTCCTGGCAGAAATCGTGGCGTCGGGGGTCTGCGTGGGAAGGCGCCACTGGCCCAGGTACTCCAGATTTTGTCGTAAAGGGAGGGGGGTCTCATTTCGGGGGGGGTCTCGTCCAGGCTGTCTTGGAGGGCCTGGGGGGGTCTGGGGACGATGTTTCGGAGGGTTCTTCCACGGGGGAGGTCTGAAATGGCTTGTCTTGGAGGGTCCAGACCCCCTCTCTTTTATTACGAAACCTGGAGTAGGTGCCCCCAGAGCTGCGCTCCATTCAGGAGCCCCAGGGGCCCTCTGGGCCTCGTGAGGGGTGCCTCGCCCCCAGAGCTGCGCTCCATTCAGGAGCCCCAGGGGCCCTCTGGGCCTCGTGAGGGGTGCCTCGGAGGCCGTGGGGGCCGCCTTGGCAATCCGGGGGGCACCTCGGGCCAGGGGCACTTCTGGTCACACCCGAACGTCTCGGGTGGTCTGCTTTGCACCGGGAGCAAGCCTGCACCCCCTAAGGTTGCCCCCAAAATGCACAGCGGAGAGAGCGTGAAACAGGGGGCGGTGGAGGAGGGCAACGCAGACCCCGTCCAAAGGGGGCCGAGAGACGCGCCCACCTGGAGGCGCACCGAGAAGCCATCATAAAGCGGCAACGCGCAGCGACAAGACGTCCCCAGACCCCCGACGTCGTGATGTTTTCAACGTCGACCCCCAGAGGTCTGGACGTCTGGACCTCTTCCCCGGGGACCCGTTTCTCATCCTGAGTCGTCTTTTGACGACCCTGGGGCCCGGTGAGGGCCTCTGTAGAGGCCGAAAATAGCAAACAACCTCCCATCGTGATTTTTGTTCACGACGCGAGGGGTCCTGGGCAAGAAGCCACGCAGGAGCGGCAACGCGCAGCGACAGTACACGCCGGTCGGAAGGAGGTAGAAACATGAAGTAGGAAGGCGGATGAAGTAGAGTGGGTTCAGGCCAGCCAAGAGAATAACAAACACACAGCCAAAACACACACACATCGATTCTTGAAGTAGGAAGGCACGTGAAGTAGATCGGATTCTGAGAATTCAGAATTACCTCCTTCAAACGACCGATGGGTGCGTCCTCGTCTGCGATGTAGGCCCCGTGCGCGTCGCGGCACTGCGCGACCACGCCCAGCTCCTCTGCGGGCCGCGAGGAGGGCGGCCGGCGGCCAGAGGCGGCAGGAGGAGCACGCGGCCGAGGGCGGGACAGGATTGAGGATTGGGTCGGGCATGTCCTCCTACTGGCGGATGTTGGGCGAGAAGCACAACTATGCAACACGAGTAAAAACAACAAATAAAAGGAAGAGTCAAAACATCGTCTCCAGAGTAGTTCTTCACTATTTTTGAATATTCCCCCTGCAGAGAGACATGCCCGACTTAAGATGAGGAGCGGCAAACTCACACCCCCTCGAGACATGGCAAAAAATCGCGACGGGAGGTGTTTCACTATGTTCGGCCTCGGGGGGCCCGTATACCGGGCCTCGGGACCGTCAAAACACGACTCGGGATGAAAAGCGGGTCCCAGGAGTGGGTCGAGACCTCTAGAGGTCGACATTGTGAAAAACATTGAATCATGACGTCGGGGGTCTGGGAAGGGTGGGGCAAGGGAGGTGGGGAACCCTGAGATCCTGGCGTCTCAAGTTTTTCGAGCCGGGCGTGTTCGCTTTTTCTCGGGCCCTGGGGCCCTCACAGATCGATCCGGCTCGAAAAGTTATGCAGAAAGATGGTGTCCAGGGCTCAGGGCGTGAGTTTTTACGATGTTGCATATTTTTTCGCGACTGCGGATCTCAAGGGAGTGAGGTTCCCAGACATGCGACGTCCTGATTTTTTCAAGACGGCGTCCCCGGAAGTCCCGACACGTTCCCCGGGACCGGTTTCTCATCTTGAGCCGCTGCTTGACGGGCCCGAGGTTCGGCGAGGGCCCCTCGAGGCCGAAATTGACCAAAAACCTCTCGTCCTGATTTTTTTGTACGACGCGATCACGTCTGGGTTGAGGGCAAATCGACAGGGGGCGGACGCCGCTTCCCACCCCGCCCTCCGGCGCTCCCTCGGCACCCCCTGCCTGGCGAGCGCGGGGCGGGGCGGGGAGGAGCCCCCAAGAGGTCGGGCGGGCGGTGGCTTCCCCGCCCTCCCCTCCCCCCCCTCCCTCCCCCCCCTCCCCCGCATCCCCCCCCTCCTGGTCCCCCCCCCCTCCCTCCCCCCCTCCCTCCCTCCCTCCCCCCTCCCTCCCCCCCTCTTCCCACCCTCCCTCCCCCCTTCTCCTCCCCCTTTTCCGCCCTCGCCCCCTGTCTCCATCCCACTCGCCTCCCCCCCCCCTCCCTCCCGAGCGCAGCGGCTGGCGTGTTCTGGCGTCCAATGCGGGGAACGAGGCGGAGCAGGGAAGAGGACAAGGGCAAGGAGGAGGAGGCGGGGGAGGAGGAGTCAGGGAGGAGCACCGGGGAAATGGAGGGGGAGAGGAAGGAGGAAGCGGAGGAGCAGGATGCAGCGGGGAGGAGGGAGGCGAGAGAAGGGGTAAGGGAGAAGGTAGGGGGGGGGGGCACGGGAGGTGGGAGGGCAGAAGAGGGAGGAGCCTGGATGGAAGAAGGAGCAGGGAGGTAGGAGAAGCAAAAGGAGGCAGAGCGTCGGGAGTGGGCACGTGGGAATAACGGCGACGAGCAGGAGCAGAAACACCAGGATCGGTGACAGTGCGCACGATGACTTACGCCCCTGCAAGGCGTCCATCTTACAGGAGCCAACGCGCCCGAAGCACATGCCTCCCTGAGCTGTGCAGCTGCGACCCACGCGCTCTGTGGAGCCAGATTTAGGTCGGGCATGTCCTCCTACAGGCGGATTTGGGAGGACAACTAAAAAATCGTTAAGAATCTATAGTCAAACAATCGTCTTCAGACCATGTTCTACTAATTTTGAATATTCCTCCTGAGGGACGTGCCCGACTTACCACTAAATGCGACACGCAGAATACAATCAACATCGCTGTGCCTTGGCCGTGCTGGCCTCCCGCCCGGCATGGATAACAACTAGCCCCACTAGCGAAATATTACGACAGGGAAGGGCGAAGCGGCAGCAGCGGCAGCTGCAGCGGTCTGTTGCGAAACAGCTGCCGCTGCAGGCAGCAGCAACTTCCCTGGGATCCGACGTTGCGGAAACACAAACAACTACAAAAATACGACCAGAGCGAGCCCTAGGCCCTATCTTACTGCTGCACTTCTCGAACCGAATCGATCTGTGATGGTCCTGAAACCGGAAGCGGAGACAAAAACGCCCCGTGCGACAGAGATTGCAACGCCCAAATCTCGGGGGAAACCAATCCGTACCCATACCGCTGCTCCCCGGACCTCTCCCAGAGTGCGCCCTGACCCGGATTGCGGGGCGAATCCGGCGGTGGCGGCGAGAGCCTCCCAGGGGGCCCCCAAAAAGGATAGAACGAGGGAAGGGTAGCGGTAGCCAGACCCCCGACGTCGCGATTTTTTCGCAACGCCGACCCCCACAGGTCTGGACCCCTTCCCCGGGGACCGGTCTCTCATCCTGAGCCGTTCTTTGACGGCCCCGGGGCCCGGTGGAGGCCCCCAGGGCCCGAAAATCTTAAGAAACACCTCCCGCCGCGATTTTCGTCCACGACGCGAGGGGGCCCTGGGCAGGGGTGCACTATTTCCCCCTCCGAGATCTCGGCGCTCGACGCCCCCGCGCCGAGCCGCGCCGGAGGCGGCCCGCGGGCGCCTCGCGGAGGCGGCCGCGGCACGCGGCGCCGAGGCGGCGCGGCGGCGCCGGGGGGGGCTCCTCGAGGAGGGCGGGCTGCGGGCGAGGCGCGGCGGTGGCGCAGTCGAGGCGGTGGGCCTCCTCGGGCCGGCTCGGGGCGGCGGGTGGCTCCCGAGGAGCGCAGCCCCAGCCTCTTCCCCGCTTCCCCCCCCCCCCCCCTGTCCCTCTTCTCCCCCATCTGCTTCCCCCTCTGCTTCCCCTCTGCTGCCCCTCTTCTGCCCCAAATGCTGCCCCTCCTCTGCCCCTCCTCTGCCCCTCGCTCCTCTTCCCCTCCCCTTCCCTTTCCTCTCCTCCTCTTGCCCCTCCTCCTCTTCCCCCCCCCCCCACACTCTTCCTCTCTCCTCCTCTTCCCTCTCCCCGCTTCCCCTCCTCCTCCCTCTTCTCGGCGGCGAGCGGAAGCGAGAGGGGGGCTGGCCTGCTCAGAGGGCTTGGAAGCCCCCTGGCCTGCTGGGAAGTGTTCCGAGCCTGCCCCGAAGACGCAGGAAACTCTTCAGGAGGCGCGAGAGCTCCTGAGAAGTCCCAGCCCGCCTTCTGAGAAGGCCTTCTACTTCTCTCTGGCACCCCTCACTCGCCGCCCATCTTCCCTTCACCACCGCTCGTGAAAGGCACGACGGCGTGCGGGCGGGTGGGCAGTCTTCGGCCCCCGCGGGCCTTCACTGGCCCTCAGGGCCGTAAGAGAACCACTCGGGATGAAAAACCAAGCCTGGGGCAAGGGTCGGAATCTTTGTGGGCCCCGGAAACGGCAGGGCCGTTTTTTTCACCGTTTCCCCAAAAATGTCCCTTGAAACTGGAAACGGCCAAAAAACGGCGACCAGAAACCGCAACAAAAACGGCTCCAGGACTGGAGCCGGAGCCGGAAACGGCCAAAAAATGGCGACGGAACCGGTGAAAAAAAAACGGCGTCGGAACCAGCAAAAAAACGGCCAAACGGAACCTGTGAAAAAACGGCCCTGTCGTTTCCAGGGCCCACTAAGGTCGGGATATCTGGGGACACCGTGCTGACAAAGAAGCTAAGACATCGCACGTGTGGTGCCCCGTCTCTCGGCCCTGCAGTGGCTTCACCAGGAGGCACCGCCGCGCGCTGCGCCCCAGACCGCGCCCTGCTGCTCCCTCCTCCTCCTCCTCCTCCTCCTCCTCCTCCTCCTCCCCTCCTCCTCCTCCTCCTCCTCATCCTCCTCCTCCTCCTCCTCTCCTCCTCCCCTCCCCCCCTCCCCCTCCCCCTCCTCCTCCGCCTCCCCCTCCTCCTCCTCCTCCTCCTCCTCCTCCTCCTCCTCCTCCTCATCCAGATGTAACCCGTTGCGGCTGGCCCCTGCGGCCCCATGAGCAACGTCGCTCCGTCCTGCTCTCGCGCGCCTCAGTCGTTCTGCTGCCCCCCTTCCCTCAGTTTCCACCTTGCTGGCGGTGCTCGCAGCTGCACATGATTGGGTCCTTCGCCAGGCTGAGTTTCCAATCTGATCCTCCCGCCTCCCCACTCCCGTCTTCTGACGTTCAGAGCTGGGATTAAGCAATCACCCCCGCAGGAGACGGGGGACAAGCTGCGGGAGGGCCATGCGGAGGCGAAAAGGTCTGATACCATTACTCCTCAGACCTTTCCCAGGGTGCATTCTGACCAGAAGTTCGACGCGAATCCAGCAGTGGCGACAAAGGTTCCCCAGAAGGAACAAAAAGGCAATGGAAGGGTAGTGGTACCGTCGATTGGATTGTGTTGCATCCTCGGGGGACCTTGTCTGTCCTGTCGCGGTCCTATCCGCGTCGAATCCGTGTCGAATCCATGTCAGGCTCGACGGATCCGTGTCGAATCCGTGTCGAATCCGCTGCGAATGCACGCCTAATCCGCGTCGAGTCCGCGTCGGGCACAAGAAACGACACCCATTTTGTCGGACAGGCGAGGTCTCCCGAAGATGCAACGATATCGATTGGATGGTTCAAGCCGCGGCCCCAGACCCAGACATCCGGCTGCTCCAATTTTTTCGATGCGTGGGCCCCGGAGGTCTGGACCACTTCCCCAGGACCGTTTCTTCGTTCGGAACTGTCTTTCGACGCTCCCGAGGCCCGGCGAGGGCCCCCGAAGGCCGAACACTGCCAAACCCCCCCGCTCCGTTTCCTGGGGGAGCGTCGGATCTCAGGGGAAGTGCCCCCGATCGCTTCCCCGCGCGCAGCTCTCCGCCCCAGGGGGGCCCACTTTGGATGGCCCCGGGGGGCCCGAGCACGGCCCCCGAGGGCCGCAGGGCCTTGCTGGGGAGATCGCACCGCCGAGACTCGGGGGCGGCAAAGAGGGGGGCGTGCAAGGGGGGGGGGGGGGCGCGAATCATGGCCCGCGGCATGTGCGCGGCCCGTCGGGGGGAGGGGGGGGGGGCAGGGATGTATTGAAATAAGAAGAGGCGCCATGAAACCTGGGGATGCATTGAAGTAAGAAGAGGCGCCATGAAACCTGGGAAGATATCCTGGCCTCCGCCATGATGTCCCCCCCCCCCTAGGCATCACCCCCCTCTCTGCCGCCCCCGATGCTGGGGAGATCGCACTCCGCCGAGGCGCGCAGGGAGTGCCCCCGGGCCGGGGTGGGCCCACCGGCGCGCTGCTCTCGGGGGCCGCACGGGGAGCCGGGACGCAGGGGGGCAGACTAATAGTGCGACGTGTCCTCCTCGGGGGCGCGCGTCCGACCCCAACGCATCGTGTACGAATCTTGTGGTATTATGTCGGGCGTGTCCCCCTACAGGGGGGACTTTGGGCGACAAATAAAAAACAACAAAATGCCCCCACATGGCCAAAAAAGGCTCAAAAAATAATCACCAGACTATGTTTGGACTATTTTGGGGGTATTTTCTATCTTTCGTCCAAAATCCCCCTGTAGGGGGACAGGCCCGACTTAAACGCATCGTGTACAAATCTTGTGGTAGATCGTTTCCCGAGCGGTACGGCAAGAAAGCCCCCATCAAAACGCATACACTATAAGAGTTCCCTCGGGGATCTTCTGACCCGGGTCGATCCAGACCCGGGTCAGCAGGAAACTGAAAAACTGCAACGCAGGAAAAAACACTGCAACGCAGGTCTTCGCAAACCCAGGTCAGCCGATATGCGCGGCCGCCTCGCGGCCACGAGCGGCTCGCTAACCCAGGTCAGCCAGAAGGGGTCTTCGCAGGATCCGGTGTCCTGGCTGACCCCCGTTCGCATTGACCCCCGCCTCAAGGCTCCCGCTTCTCGGTGCGCGCGTCGCCCCGGGGGGCGACGCACACACAGTATCAGTGTGCGGGGGTGACGCCGAGAGATCAGATCCAAGCGCACAGGCCACGCGCTGGGGGGGGCCCTGCGGGCCCGCATCGAAGGTCACCTCCTCGAAGGGTCACGCCGCCGTCTCGCGCGTGGCCGAGTCGGGGGCGACTGCTCCCCGGACGGGGCCCCCCCCGGACCTCCCGATCTCGCGTGCAGTCCTCGCGCAGCGCCTGGCGCGTCTCCTCCAGCCGCTTCAGGCGCGCGGCGTCGGCATCACGCCTGCGGGCGCCCCCCCCCCCAGACCCGTAACCAGAGGACACCTCCACTGCTGGCACTGGGCAAGCATATGGGAGGAGGAGGAGGAGAAGGGGGAGGAGGAGGAGGAGGAGGAGGAGGAGGAGGAGGAGGAGTAGAAGGAGAGGAGGAAGGAGGAGAAGGGGGAGAGGGGAGGAGGAGGAGGAGAGGAGGAGGAGGAGGGAGGAGGAGGAGGAGGAGGAGGAGGAGGAGGAAAGGGGGAGAGGAGATGAGGAGGAGGGGGAGGAGGAGGAGGAGAGGAGGGGAAAGGAGAAGGAGGAGGAGGAGGAGGAGGAGGAGGAGGAGGAGGGAGGAAGAGGGAGGGAGGAAATCCTGTTGCAAGAGATCTTCGGGCACACTGTTCGTCGATATCTCAGGGTCCCGAGGCGCAGCCGAGCGGCGTCTGCGGGCACCCGAGGCCATCGGGCGATCAGGCGTGTCCGTGGGAAGCCTGCTGGCAGGCCGATGTCTTACCCAGTGCATGCACTTCTGCGTCTGCGCGCCCCTCGTCGGGATGCTCGGAGAGAACAGCGAAACTGGCAAGCGAACCAAGCCAACCTGCGTCATCATGCACTCACGCACTGCACATACAGTAGGGGCTCGACCACAAGAAACCTTTCACAAGAAACCCATCCCGACGTCCATTGATGTTTTGGTGTGGGCACGTCACGCCTTCCATGGAGAAGCATCGAAGCCCCAGAAACCCAGGGCACCCTGGAGGCAAGCAGGGTGTTTCTTGGCTAGGGCGACCGAATCTATGCATATCCACTGCTCCCTGGCCAGGCACACCGTGAACCCAGCAGCAGTGTATACGCCACACCCTCCTGGCTGGGCCAGGAGGGCGTATACACAGCTCCTGGGTTCAGAGTGGGCCTGGCCAGGGAGCAGTGGATATGCATAGATTTCGTCGCCCGATTGGCATGAGCCCCCACTGTAACTTGACACCCGGCAAGGCCAGCTGTGGGAAACGGGACCGGGTCCGGGGGCGTGCCGGCCCGGGCTGCACCGGCCCGGGGTCGAAGCACATGGGATCGGGTCGGCTGCGCCCGCGCCGTGCGGGCCTCGGGCCGCAGTGGGTCGGCAGAATGTCGGAGTTGACTCGGATCAGAATGTCAGGAGGAGGAGGAGGAGGAGGAGGAGGAGGATAAGGAGTAGGAGGGGGATAAGGAGTAGGAGAGGATAGGAGTAGAGAGGAGGAGGAGGAGGAGGAGGAGGAGGAGGAGGAGGAGGAGGAGGAGGGGGCAGAGGAGGAGGAGCAGGAGCGAGGAGGGGGAGGGGGGGAGGGGAGAGAGAGGAGGAGGAGGAGGAGGAGGAGGAGGAGGAGGAGAAGAGGAGGAGGAGGAGGAGGAGGAAGAGGAGGAGGGGGATGAGGAGGAGAAGGAGGAGGAGAAGGAGGAGGAGGAGGAGGAGGTGGCGGGGAGGAGGAGGAGGACGAAACCGATACCCAAAGGCATCCATCGGATCAGAATGGGCCTTGGCACCTCCTCTGGAAGGCCACCTGTAGGGCCTCTGGTGTGCAGCACAAGAAATATGTGCATGATCAGAAACTTCCAGAGGTCCGCGCGGATTTCTTTCAGGGGTCCGCGCGGATTGCATTCCTCGGCGCTGCATGCCCCTCCATGGCGCGCGGGCGAACGGGGTGCGCCAAGGGCGACACCGGAGGCGGCGCCAGGACGGCCCAGCACCGATCCAAGGAATCTGCGCGGACCTCCGAAAGGTTCTGCTCAGCAGCGCGCCCAAGGGGAACAGCAGAGGGGGCAACCCAGAGCCACACGGGGCTTCTCAGAAAACCAAAGAGGGCTTCCGAGAAGTCCCGCCACGTGCCCAAGAAGGCCTGCCACCCTCTCACTGCCCCCGATCGGCGCGCCGTCCATATGCGTGCGTCTATCCAGTCGATGGCACGTGTTCTGTGTCGTGGACCCCGGGAGTCCAGACCCTGCCCCCTGCGCCGACTGGTCATCGCGGGTAGCTGCTTGACGGTCTGGGGCCGGGGGGGGAGGCCCCCGCAGGCCCGCAAACGGTCAGCTCAAAAACGTCCAGTCCACCCGTCGCGTTTTGTTGTTCACGGCGCGGGCATGTCAGGGCTTTCGAGTCGGGGATCGACTACAGAATTGATTTGCCCCCCAAATAGATTTTCCCGCCGAAGCCAGGACGGAGTGCCTGTAATGTCCCGTAGAGCCACGAACATCCCACGCGTGTTTTGTATAGTCGGCAGGGATCTCACTTTTGGAATACCCCTCGGTCGGAAGAAATAGGTAGAAACATGAAGCAAGAAGGCGCTGAAAGTAGATCGGTTTCAGTCCGCACCCTTAGAGGGACGGATAAGGTGAAGTCACTGTCATTGAAGTAGGCAGCCGCTCAAAGCAGATTTGGGATATGGGAATCCAAAAACACCCACCTTCGACGACCGATGGGCAAACCAATTTTGCAGCGGATCCCCGAGTCGAGGCCTGAAAGTCCACAGTCGATCCCTGGACCTGTTCTGGGGCGCCTTGTCTGACCAGAGGCTCCTGGCGTGATATTCATCCCCGGCGGCGGCGGCGAGGAGCCTCTCCCCGAAGCATGCTTGCTATACTTATAGCCAGCGAGGGCCCCCTAAGCAAGTAAGTTATACTGTGCTGCGGGTGTGCGGCAGCCTCGTGGTGCAACCATGCGGTGCGAGCTCTCTGCCTCACACTGACTACACACCCCCAGTGGGCCCTGGAAACGACAGGGCCGTTTTGTTACCGGTTCCGTTCTGCCGTTGTTTTGCCGGTTCCGACGCCGTTTTGTTCCCCAGTTCCGCCGCCGTTGTTTGACCAGTTCCGGCTCCGGTTCCAATCCTGGAGCCGTTTTTTTTGCCGTTTCCGGTCGCCGTTGTTTTGCCGTTTCCTTTTTCAAGGAACATTTTTTTGGAAACGATGAAAAAACGGCCCTGCCGTTTCCGGGGCCCACAAAGTGCGAGAGGGCGCACGGTGCAAAGGCTCACGCGGAAGCCCATCAAGTGAGCCCCTGCTGGGCCAGCACGAGCAGCGGCGATCTACCGCCCGGCATCGTGCTGAAGAAGTCCAGCACGACGGCCCAGCGCGCCACGCCAGGCCTAGTGATGCAAGCTACGTGGCGCAAACTGCGTGGCGAGCTGGGTGGTGCAAGCTGGGTGGTGCGAGTTGTGTGGTGCGAGCTGTGTGGTGCAAGCTGCGCGGTGCAAGGCGTGTGGAGACAAGAAGACGTGGAGCCATCTGCGCGGTGCGAGCACTCTGTGGTGCGAGCTGTGCGGTGCAAGCTGGGCAGTACTATCTCTGCCTGGCGCGAGCTGTGCCGTGCCCCGCTATCCCTGGAAGAGCACCCAGACCACATCTCGAGTCATGAAAAAGTCATGGCGGAAGGTTTCCCCCCCATAGTTTCGACCTCTGGAAAGGCCTTCACCGGGCCTCGGGGACCGGCGAAATAACGACTCGGGATGAGAAGCCTGTCCCGGGGAACGGGTCGAGACCTCTGGGGGTCGACGTCATGGACAAAAATCACGACGTCGGGGGCTTGGGGCCGCCGGGCCCGCAGGCGGGCCCGGGCTCCCTGGAAAAGCAGCAAGAAGCCCTGAGTGCGCAAGCGCTGCACGGGGAAATCTGTTTTTTTTGTCTTCGGCGGCGAGGCAGATAGGCAATCCGCTCCAACATGAGGCTATGATCGACCGAAGTGCGAATCGTCCGGCGTGCAACGGGAAGGAAAAACGCGGGTGCAGCCGCGCGGGAGCGCATGGGTGAAGTAGGGGAGCAAGCTATGACATAACTAAACATTAAAACTCGGAGGCCCGCGCGGATTTCCCGGATCAGCGCTGGAGCCCCCTCCCTGGCGCGCGGAGCGCGCCAGAGGCGGCGCTGGAGGCGCCGCCAAGGAGGCTTCAGCTCCGATCCGAGAAATCCGCGCGGACCTCCGAGTTTTTCTGCTTATGCCATGGTGTGTTTCCCCATGAATTCAGTCGAGCTAAAACAGGGCTAGGATCGGGATAAATCGCTCCAGAGCGTTCCGGGGCGCTCTCAGAGCGTTCCGGAACGCTCTGGAGCGGCCGCGGCGCCCAATACATCCTCCAAACCCGCCGATTCTCATAGATTTCGAGTTATCCCGATCCGATTTTGCCCCGATCCTCGAGTCGCTTTACGAGGCCAAGACGGAAGAGCACCCCTCAGGAACACGGGGCCCGCCGGCCAAACCACACACACCGAACAGCCACGGGCACGCGGCCCCGGGGCGCAGGAAGGTCCAGAAGCACGAAGGACGTCAGGGTCCTACAGTCGGGGCCTTGACCTAAGGAACCCTAAATAAGGAACGAGGCCCCTTTTTTTCCATAAGTTAACCTTCGATTTCCCATCGAAAGCATCAGGAAACCCTGAGGCAAGCTGCGAAACACTTAAGGAACGCGGAGCCCCTCCCCAACGAAAAGGGTTCCTTCTTCAGGGCCCCGACTGTACTCTCCCCGAACCGACCTCGATCTTAGACCTCGGCCCAACGGTGCGAACAAAGACAACTTCGACCCTCGAGTCTCGCGGGGAAGCGCCCGCCCCCCGCATGCAGCTCCACGTGGGGGTGGCGGAAGGGGGGGAGGGCGACCGGCCGCCACTCTTGCAAGCCAGACGGCGCTCAAGGCATGACTCCACCGCCTTCGGGGCCCGAGTTGAAACTCCATCTGTCTCAGTTTCCCTCATCTTGCCTCGGATTTTCTCAGCTCCTCTCGATTCGTCCGCGGCTTTTCTCAGCTAGCCCTGGCGGCGCGCTCAGCTTTCGCCCCTCCCCCCCTTGGTGCCACCACCCCCACGTGGAGCTGAGGGGCCCCATCACCCCCCCTCCCCCCGGGCAGAGGCCCTCCTCTGTCGGAGGCCTGGAACTTGGCACCAACACCAAGACAGGGGTTTGCCTCCACAGGGGGAAGGTGATCCTAGATTTTCGGTGTTGGTGGTAATAGTTCGGCCACCCTGGAAGCCAGAATATTACCACCATCACCGAGATCGGGATCTTCTTCCCTCGGTCGAGGCACACCGCCGAAATTGGTGTTGGTGTCAGTCTCTAGCCCTGCGACTCTGCGCTGCCCCCCCCCTCGAGCCTGCGCTCCCCGTCGGCCACCGCGGCCAGCAGCCGCCCGTGCTCGGCCTGCAGCTCCCGGTGCTCCTCCGCGCTGACCGGGAGCTCCTCCGCGGCGCGCCCCTCCGCCTCCGCGCCCCCCACTCCTTCAGGCCTGCTCTCGGGAGCGGCCACGAGGGGGGCGTCCAAGAAGGAAAGGAAAGGAAAGTAGTACCATACGCCCTAAGGCGCGTCGGCGCGGCTCAGACGAGCACGAAAGACTCGACGATCAGATAGCAGGCGAATTCCGTCCTCACCACAAACTCGAACAGCGTGCGCGTGCGGGCGTCTAAGAGGGGGGGCGCAAATCATGGCCCGCGGCATGTGCGCGGCCAAAGGGGGGGGGGCCAGGGACGCATCCAAGTAAGAGGAGGCAGCAGGAAATCTGGGGAGATATCATGGCCCCCGCCATGATATCCACCCCCTCAGCCATCACCCCCCTCTTGGCCACCCCCAATGATCGGGGACCTGCTGACCCGGGTCAATCCAGACCCGGGCCAGTCGGCCTTTGCAAGATCCTGCAGGATCCTGCGCCCAAGCCCAAGCCGGTGTCAGTGCCCCCCCCCCTCTCCGGCGCTCTGACTGACCCCCGCTTGCATTGACCCCCGTCTCTTGAGCCCCAAACTAAGCCCAGACACGCTAGGCCAGGACATCCAACACACCTCGAGACCGATTTTTCCCGACGGCGGCAGGAACAAAAAACTGCACTGCACACGGAAAGGCGGCACTGACAAGGAGCTGCACTGCGACATTCCCGGAAGAAAACTGGACAAAGGCCACGAACGCACGAACGCCTCACAACCACCCCCTAGACCCGGACAAAGACCCGGATCTTATGTTGAAGCAGCAGGAACACGCACTGGACGACCAAGTGCAGCAACAAACAAATGCACTGGACGACCAAAGTCTAACTTTTGTAGGACACGGTTTCGTTTTCTCGACTTGCTAATGTTCTGTTTCGTCTTTGTCCTAGTCTCGGGGGGTTGACCCCTCTGGGGGCATCGGGCGCTGGTTGCAATCATGCGTGCTCCTTGGATAAGCACGGCGGGAGGTTGTAAGCCGCTGCTGCATGCCGAGAATCAGAGTCTAGACACCAAAGTTGCCCTGCAGTTCTCTGTAGTAGGTTGGATGCACGAAAAGTAATTGACCTGCACCCTTTGCCCCCTGCCCCTCGCCTGTGGTCCTTTGAAATCCGCCGGAACACTGGAGCAAGACCCTGAGATCCTGGCGACTCAATTTTCTCGAGCCGGGCTAGGCTTCGGGCCCTGGGGCCCTCACAAATCGATCTGGCTCCCAAAAGTGACGCAGAAAGAGAAGGTCTGGGGCTTCAGCCGTGTTTTTTATTGCGATGTTGCAATTTGTTTGCATCGTCGGATCTCAGGAGAGTGCTCGTCTCTCGTAGCTTCGCCCTTGCTCGTGCAAGGACGTCCAGTGGTCGCGAACGCCCGACGCGCTGCCTGGCGGACAGCAGAGCCGCCGGGCGTGTAGAGTCGAGGCGTTGACCTAAGGAAGCCTAAATAAGGAACGAGGCCCCTTTTTTCCATCGGTGAAACTTTGATGTCCCATAGAAACCCTAAGGACAACCTAAGGCAAACTGCGACACAATTAAGGAACACGGAGCCCCTCCTCAACGAAAAGGGTTCCTTGTTCAGCGCCCCGACTGTAGTATAGGGGACTGTCTCACCATCGTGCCAACGCACCTCTGACGTGCACGGCCTTCTCCCTCCCCCCCTCTCGTGCCTCTGGGGGCCCTCGCCGCGAGACGGTCCCAGAAGACGGCTCGGGATAACAAGCCAGACGCGGGGGAAGGGCCTGGGCCTCAGTGGGCCCTGGAAACGACCGGGCCGTTTTTGTTACCGGTTCCGTTTTGCCGTTTTTGCTGCCGTTGTTGTTGCCGTTTTGCAGAAAACGGCGAAAAAACGGCCCTGCCGCTTCCGGGGCCCACTAAGGCCTGGGCCCCTCGGGACGTCGAACGCCTGCGCTGCCCCTCTGAAGAGGACAATGTTGAAGGGGAACTGGAACACACAAATAAATACACACAAATAAAAATATCCCCCATATTTTCCCATATTTTCTGGGTTTTTGTCTTCCCCACCACTTCCCATATTTTTGCATATTTTCCTGGGAGTCGACGATTAATTGTGTCTGTGTGTTTCTTCCCCTCCTGAAATGTGCATCACCGTGCGGTCCGGGAAGTGGCTGCCTCGCATCGGACGGCCGGCCGCCGCCAACGCGCCACGCCCGGCAGGCCGACAGCGCGCCGACCTGCTCAACGCGGGCGGGGCACCGGGCAAGGCCCGGGGCGGCGACGCCCAGGGACCGAGTGAAGGGGCCCTGGGACACACAAAGAAAGACACACACAAATATAAAAAGATGCCCCATCTTTTCCCATAGCTTCTGGGCTTCTGTCTTCCCCCCCCACTTCCCCTATGTTCGCCTAATCTCGGGGAGTCCACGAATAAGTGTGTCTGTGTGTTGTTTCCCCTCCTGACCAAGGCGTGGTGAGCGAGCCGCGCCACAGGGCTGCGGGCCAGAACCGGCCGCGCGACACGCGGCCCCCATGGGGAAAGGGGTCGGGACTGCCGGAGCCCCGTCACTGTAAGGGTCAAGACATCGCACGACCACGAGGGAGCCCCGAGAAGCACGTCCTCCTCCTCCTCCTCCTCCTCCTCCTCCTCCTCCTCCTCCTCCTCCTCCTCCTCCCCCTCCTCCTCCTCCTCCTCCTCCTCCTCCTCCTCTTCGCTTGACTTCGCCTCCTCCTCCTCCTCCTCCTCCTCCGCGTCCTCGTCCTCTGGCCCTTCTCTTCTTCTTGGCCGCGGCATCCCCAGACATCGCATGTCTGGGGATGCCGTGGGGTGTGAAGCACACAGCGCCCGGGAGCTGCTGCGCTGCGACTGGATCACAACTAAGGGTGCGCAGGAAGGGGGCCCAGGCCCCCATGGGCGCCCGGAGCGAAGCCGAAAGTTGGAAGCCCGTGGCCCGCAGTCAGGGGCTGGGATGGGTCGAGAGGCAAGGATGCACGTGCTTTCTTGGAAACTGATTCGTCCTCCTTTGGCGGCGCGCGCAAGGGGGTACGGGGAGGGGGACGGCTTCTGATAAGGAGGCTGCTCCTCAGAAGGCGCGGGCCCTACGTCTACAAACAAGGACCGCCGCTGCTGAGAAGCAGGGGAGCTCCTAAGAAACATTCCCCCCCACCTACCCCCCTCTGCGCGTGGCCTGCTTATGGTGAGGTTTGGTTTTAGGTCGGGCATGTTCTCCTGGAGGCGGATTTTGACGACAAATGAAAAATAGGCAAAACAAATAATCAGAACTGGTCGAAGAGTGCTAGAAAAATCGTTCCCAGACTATTTTTGGACTATTTGGGAATGTTCCCCCTGTAGAGGGACACGCCCGACTGCAGTTCGCTTGTGTTGCCTGAAGAGCTGCGCAGAAGAAAACTAAAGGCCGCGATCTCCTGCGGAAGCCGTGCGCCGCCCTGCTTGGTGCTCGCGTCTTCGCCCTCGTAGACGGTGGTGAGGGTGCCGTCGAAGGACAGGAGCTCGTCCTCCGCGCAGAGGCTGGGCGGCGTCTGCTATCCTCCTCCCCCTCCTCCTCCTCCTCCTCCTCCTCCTCCTACCTCCGCCTCCCCCTCCCTCCTCCTCCTCTCCTCCCCCTCGCTCCTTCTCCTCCCCCTCCCTCCTCATCCTTCTCCTCCCCCTCCTCCTTCTCCTCCTCCTCCTCCTCCTCCTCCTCCTCCTCCTCCTCCCAAGGGGGAGTATCGAGCGGCTTAGCGCCGTCTGCTGGTGCTTGGGGGGGTATACGACAGGGGAACGAAGAATGGCATAAACATAAAAGCTCGGATGTCGGCGCGGACTTCTCGGATCGGCGCTGGGTGCCCCTGGCGGCGCCTCCGGCGGTCGCTCCGCGCGCCAGAGAGGGGCGTCGAGCACCGATCCGAGAAATCCGCGCGGACCTCAGAGTTGTCATGTTCATGTCACTCCTCGTCCCCTAAATCGAGCGGGCTCGCGACCTGCCTGCCGGCCGGCTCCCAACAAACCCCTCTGCACGCCACTGCCCTGGCCCACCTGCCAGCTGAGGGGCTATTTTGTTTCCCCTCCCCGCGGTAGGGCCTGCTGCTGTCTGCGCCGGCCTTGGCAGCTCCCTCTGGGTGGCGCTCGTGTTCTGTGTCGGCCTCCCGCAGTGGAGTTCCAACTCTGTCCAACTCGCGCCACCAGCGGAGCTGATCTGAACCGTCATCTCCACGGCCGACGGCAGGGAAGAGAGGGGCATTGTCCTCCTCTTCGCTGAGAGCCTCGGAGGCACGTGGGAGAAGGGTGGTGGTGGGGCCATGCATCAGGGAAACTGGGCTCCAGGGAAGGCGTCCAAGGACGATGGGGGCCAACCAGGAAGCCTTCCTCAACTCACTGACTCCAAGCGACATGTCGAATAGCGCCCAGGATGACCATCAAACGCCTCAAACGACTATGTTCATGAACACCTGGAGCCTCCCCCAAGCCGTCCTCCTCGCCATCTTCATTCTCCAATCCTCCTCCTCTTCTCTTCCTCCTCTTGCTCCCAAGCCTCCCTGCTCCTTCCCCCTTGCCTCTATCCCTCCTTCCTCTGCCCTCCCCCCGCCCACCCCCCTCTTACCTACTCCCTACTTGTCCTCCTCCTCCTCCTCCTCCTCCTCGTCCTTTTTGTCCTCCTCCTCCTCCTCCTTCTCCTCCTCCTCCTCCTCCTCCTCCTCCTCCTCCTCCCCATGTTCCTCCTCCTCTTCACTTCCCTTTCCCCCGAATGCCCCCAGAGCCCCCCTGTCTGAACACTCGATACTGCCTCCCCTGCCTCGTCCTCCTCCTCCTCCTCCTCCTCCTCGTCCTCCTCCTCCTCCTGCTCCCGGCGCAGCTGCTGCTGCCTCCTCCGCCACTGCCGCCATCCGGCGGGGCCCGCGTCGAGCCGGCAGCTGCCCAGACTCGCCGAGCTTCTGGCGCCGTGATGCGCTCCGCACGGCCTCCCCCTCTGTCTGGTCGTCTGCCCTCCCTCGTCCCAGGTACCTCCTCTCTCCTCGCTCCACCCCCTCGTCACTCCATGCCTCGTCTCTCCCAACCTGCTCCCTCCTCCTCCCCCCGTCCCCTCCAAGTGGACGCCCGCCTGGAAAAACGGAAGCGAGAAGCCGATGGAGGCCCGAATGTGTCGCTGGCCCGCTCTCCTTCTCATCCTCCTCCTCCTCCTCCTCCTCCTCCTCCTCCGCTTCCTCCTCCTCCTCCTCCTCCTCATCCTCCTCCTCCTTGTCATCATCATCGTCATCATCAGCATCATCATCAGCATCATCATCATCACCATCATCGTCATCATCAACATCATCACCATCATCATCATCGTCATCATCATCAGCATCATGAGCATCATGATAATCATCCTCACCATCATCAGCAACATCATCCTCTGCCTGCCTCTCCTCATCCTTTTCCTCCTCTTCCTCCGCATCCTCTTCCTCCGTACAAGGACTCCCTCCTTGTCTTGAAGTTTCCCTGCAAGGTCCGTACTAAAAGCCCCGCAGGCTGCACAGGTGGGAGGCAACTTGCGTACCAATTCGCAATCCCGTCTTGGCCCTCGCCACAAAGTAGGGTGGTGAAGACAGCGACTTCCACAACATCTGTACGGACGAAGGTCAGGCCAGGTCAGGTCAAGCCGCAGGCTGCGGCAACCCATGGGCACGTGCACGGGGCATGGGCCGGGACCCCGTCTTGGACGGCATCCGCCCTGCAAGCTGCACAGCGCAGCTGTAGATGTGCATGCGTGGATCTGCGGCGCTTCAGTGGAGGGGGAGAGTACGCACGAGGGGAGGAGGGGAGGGACGCACGACGAGCGAGGACGAGAGGCGAGGCCAGGAGGGCGGGAGGAAGAGGGACGAGCGACAGGGGGGTGACGGAGGACACGCGTGCACGGACCAAGGGCGGGCCGCTCGCAGGCTCGCGGCTCTCGCCATGGCGCTGCGGGCGCCCTGCTCGAGCTCGAAACCTGCCATACGGTCAGGACAGCGCGGCAGGAACGCGGGTCAAGAGCACGAGCCCCCTCACCGGAGGCCCCAGGCTCCACGGAGGTGCACCAAACGAAGGCTTGCCCCGAGGTGGCAAGCCACAGAACGAAGGGCATCAGAGTACCCCCCTTCGAAGCCAGGGCTGTTATTAACCCCCGTGCCAGCTGTAGTGGATGCCAGTGACCTGCCAACACACACACACACACACCTCGTGGGGGGGGCAGTTTACGCTGCTGAGTCTTCCTGGCCTCGCTGTCTCGATTTACATGCGCAAGCATCTGCCAGCTACCCCAGCGATGCGAGGGCGACTCCCTGCGGCAGACTCTGACCCTCCAACCCTTCACGGGCCCCGAAATGGTTGCAGGGTCGCAGGCTTGTCCGTCCCAGGGGTACACCATTTCAGCTCTCTCGGGACCTCGGTCTGTGAGGGGCCCGTGTGGCCGTCACTGTTCCAGTGGCACTGGCCGCAGTGAAACGACTTGTATGCCTTTTCAGGCATCGAGCACAACAAACACCTTCGAATACGCACCCTGGCAAGCGACGCCTTTTAGTAAACGCGCCTCAGGAAGGGATCGAACAGGGCAGGGCTGTTTCGTACACGCCCAGGCCTGTTGGGTAAACACCAGTTATGGGCGTCGGGGTGCTTTTTCTCCTCCCTTCAGGGTCGGGTACGGGAACGGGTCGGGGTGAATTGTAACACTAGTGGCGTGTGCTTGGTTTACTCTGTTCCTCCTCCACGTGCGCCTTCCCCTTCCGTTCCCCGCTCCCTCCCGCTTCCCCCCTTCCTCTTCGGGGGCGAGTTGCCAGAGAACCGAGCAACAAAACTATTCACCGTAAAAAGCACAGCGTGCAGTTGTCGGGGACACCAAGAATGGAGGTCGACACCTCCCCATTACGTATCATCGTCGTCGTCGTCGTGCCCGTCCGCCTCCTCCGCTGCGTCCTGCTGGCAGTCGGACAGGTTCGGGAACTCGAGCACGCAGCGAGCCTGGGCGTCCTTGGTGCAGCGCAGCGCGCCCGCCAGGAGAGCCCCCGCCATGGACGCCAGCAGCAGGATGACGCTGGAGTGCCGCGCTTTCGTGGTCGCAACGCACCCCCCTCCCGGTCATTCTGCCCCTCCTCTCACCATTCCCCCCCTCCTCCTCGCCCGCATGCAAACCCAGACCCCCATCGCGTTGCGACAAAAATCACGACGGGAAATTTCTCCCTATTCTCGGCCTCCAGGGGCCCTTACGGGGGCCCCCACAAGCCGAAAAGAAGGAGAAGAGAAACCTCATGTCGGTGGATTTTTGTGGCGGCGCGAGGGGGTCCGCCCCCCCCCTCGCGGCGCGGCTTCCTGGGGGGGCAAGACGCGCCCGCCTCCCTCGCGGGCGTGCCGCCGCCGCCGTCTGGGAACGCCCCTTCGCCCACCCGCCCCCTCATCCGCCTCCTCCTCCTCCTCCTGCTCCTCCTCCTCCTCCTACTCTTTCTCATCCTACTCTTTCTCATCCTCCCCCTCCTCCTGCACGTCCTCCTCCTCCTCCTCCTCCTCCTCCTCCTCCTCCGCCTCCTCCTCTGCTCCTCTTCCTACTCCTCCTCTTCCTCCTTTATCCTACTCCCCTCCTCCACATTACTCAATATGAAACTACTCTCCCTTTCCCCTGATGGCGTCCC